ACTCTTTCCTTTGGAGATGAGATCTGCAGGTGGAATAAAACAAGCTTTGCTCGAAGTCATTGAATAGATTTTGAAAGAGAGTTGATAGCAGGGAATATTTGGGAATTACATGGCTGGTGAGACTAGTAATCTGATTAGTAGTATAGCTCTTGTCTTGTTGAGAGGACCTGCTACTCTAATACACTCCTAAAACAGCAAGCATGTCATCAACACAGTTAACTCTCTACAAGTGCTGGCAACATTTGCATTGCTTTAGTTAAAATTCACTGACATAAATTAACCTTGTTCCCAATATGCTTAAATTCTCTGCTTAATCCAGCGATTAGATGCCACCAAAATTAGAATGGGCTTTCAAGCAGACAGATTAAAGTAACCCTCTGTTCAATATTAGATGTTAAGGAAGAATGATGTCTCTGCTTTACATCACCTTTTCTGGTACGACAAGGTATAATTTGTACAGGAGGAAGACAAGTACTCAATGGTGACTAGAAACTGGCGGTCAAAACAAAAGGCAAAGAGGAGGAAATCCAGAATCCTTCCAAGATGCTATATTTTAAAGGAGACAGACTCTAGAATGGATTTTTCCAGACTCCAATATTTATGTAGTAAATATTACTACAGTTAGAGTTAGCTAACTCAGTGTTCGCTGACTGAGCAAGTAGTAAGAAATAAGCTACTGGTAAATGTGTGAGTGAGAGTATGTGTCTGTGTTTTTCTTGCTTTTTTAAAAATAACCTACTCGACTGTTATGTTTTTATTTCTGAAATGAATAATGAAGTGGTGCTTACTCTTACTGGTTACTGTGTGCTTTGGTTGTATTCCTTATTTTTTACTGGTTACAGATTCCAGCCCTAACACTGCAAATTCTTCACCCAGGCAGCTAGTTTATTGTATACCATGGGACCAATTACCTTTCATAACTTGCAGCATGGGCTCCTTGGCATTGTATCAGTGCTCCTTGTTAACACAATACCACAAGTCAAATAACTCAACTGGTAGAACAAATTAATTTAAGAGGAAGAACATGTCCAGCTAATTCAGCTTTCTGTAGCTGTGACTGATTTTTATGGAGATAGATAAAAAGAAAGTGATGGTGTTTGAGGTCATGAAATCTTCAAACTAATCACTATAATCAACGCACATTTGAAGAGGAGGCTTTGATCTTTTCACATGCCTGTCTTTAAAACTATTTTACACCAATGAGTTTAACAACCAAGCCCTGCTTCCTTGGACTATTGGGAAAGAACATCTAATGAAATACAGGGACAGCTGCTGTGACAACTTGGAAAAGAAGGGGCAAATTCTTACAACTATACAAGCAGCTACTCCACAATAGCAAGTAAGTCCCATTGTTTTATATACAACCATTTGAAGACGGAAAACCCACTTGTTTTGGTTCATTAACAAAAATAAAGCTTGAATGGCAGAAAGTAGTCTCAGCCGACAGTCTGTGTTTATGGAGTTTTTATTCAGCTCTGCAAGGTTGTTGTTCGGTTACCTTACACAGGAACCAGTATAGGTAGGTAAGGGATCCAGCAAGACCATTAAAAAAACCACCCGAATCTTCCTTATGTGAAAGGTTTGCTGCTCTCGAAGATCCTGTGAACACCACAAGCACTGTGAGGACGGCAGTATCTGCTGAATTACTCTGTAGTAAAAGCTCTACAGGCCAAGTGTTGCCATGTTTGTAGGGAATACTGGTGTGTGGCTAAGTGACTTCATTCACATTGTGACTGCAGAAATCTCGTGTCATTTTTAAGGAAAAATAGTTCATTAACAGCTGATACAGAGTCTCGTGCCTTTCTGTAGGCTTGTGTGGTGAGTACCACCATACAATGTAGAGCAGTGCCAGTGTTTTAACTCACCACTCAGTATTTTCCACAGCGCTTTGTGAAAACAGTTGCATGTCATTCTTCTGAGTAAGGACCTCCAAAAGCAAGTGTTAGCAGCTCAGGAGCTTAGCAGGCAGTAAGCCAGGGAATTCAAGTTGCCTTTTCCTTGGAAGGTGCTGCCTGGAGCCACTAACTCAGCTATGAATCACTGACAAGCGGGTGGACAGGAGTGATACAAACTGTGACTTCTCTGCAGTTTAAGGGTTCTTGTTCCTCATAGAAATTCTCTCGAGTTAGTTAATTCTACAAACAGACCATTACAACAAAGCAGGTTTGAACTACAATACAAATGATGCAAGTCTGGCATTACTGGATGGTTACCCATTGAACAGTAGTTCCAGAGCACCACAGCCTGGAAATCAGGCCTTTAGCTGCCGTATTTACACTATTGTTACAAAAAAAAAAAAAGAAAAAAAAAAAACAAAAAAACCTGGGGGGAAAAAAAGGAAACCCTGAAAAAACTCAACCCCAACTCCCCAAGAACAGGCAGCCAGAAACGCTGAGCTCTGCCTCTTCAGTCTTCACACAATCCATCACTTCCAGTCTCCGGGATGCTGTTCCTACAAGGGGCCCTTGAACTGGTTTCCTGACAGATGTTGCCTGATGGAGGGTTTGGAGCTCGCGGCATCACCCAGCTTTCTCCAGACAACCTGTAAGAGAAAACAAAGGGTGAGGGAGGGAAAGACGGGAATTAAAATCCAAAGCCTCTGAGGAATTAAGTGCTCCACCCCTGGCGGTGTTCAAGGCCAGGCTGGACAGAGCCTTGGGCGACATAGTTTAGTGTGTGGTGTCCCTGCTCATGGCAGGGGGGTTGGAACCAGATGATCTTGAGGTCCTTTCCAACCCTAATTATTCTATGATTTGCAGTATTTCTACAATTGCAGTCTGAAAGTCACCATCAGCCGTTTCCTAGAGCTGCGCTGTAATTCTCCCCAAAGCCACTGGATGGCACCTGCGCACCAGTTCCCAAGGAAAACACCATTGATGCATTTTTCTAATTAGTCTCTCTTGAAATTAGAACTATTTTCGCTTGGGGTAACAGCATAAAACAAATACACTAGGTTCAGAAGTTGAGTTCAATGCTAGGTCAGCCCTGCCATGCTTACAGAAAAGATGCTACCACGAACACAAAAATAATGAAAAGGCAATGATTAAAAATACACATCTGTGACTTTCTAAACACGTGTATTTTGTCACTCTAGGGCCACTGAGAGAAGGGAGACGATGTTTTTAAAAATAAGAAGCTGCAAAGCACTTTATATCTGCCAACATCAAATAAATATTTAAAGAAAAAACAGCTGATGACAAACAGAAATGAGTCCATTTGGAAGGATGAAGTTACGATGTTTACCTTTCCCCCCGCATGGCTGCACGGAATGTGGCATTAAGCAGACAAAATACCCTAAAGAGCATGTGCCCGTTTAGTCTGGTCTTGGCTTTGCTTATCGGGATCCAGCAACGAAAGTGAAGTACCTCAGCCCTTGCCAAGGATGCTTGTTCTCAAACTCTGCTCACAGCTGAAGCATGGCGTAACTGCTGCGCAGCTGGAGGCAGTGCCACGGCAGCAGGTACAGCAGAGCAGAGGTTTGGTACAAAGGCCCACCATACCGGATGTGGCAAGTTCAGTTAACAGCGTGGTTGCCAAAATGTTAGCAGTGCTGACAGCTCTCCACACATCATGGTACTGTCCAACAGCTCCAGACAAGAAGATTCTCCCTCTGATGTTATCTTACGGTTTAGGTTCAAACCCATTCAAACTGTACAGCTGTAAAGATGGCAATCAATTGCTGCTCAGCCCAAACTGAGTCCCTAAGGGCACAGGCAGAGTCAACTGCTAACCGGACTCTCCTAGCCACGGAGTGCCACTTGCACAGCTCTGTCAGCTTGACCAGCTACTCTACACTTGAAGGCAGCAAAGTGGGAATTAGCAGCTGAGCAAAGGCTGCTCCATGCGGTGAATGAGGCACTCGGGTTACTAATACCCAAAGCAGTGGTCAGCAGAGCCTCCACTCTGCCCTTGTGCCTGTGGATCTTGCATCAAGCAGGGCTTGTACACAGCAGACCCCTCCTCCTCCACACTTACAACAAAAGACCATGAAAGAAACCCCTAGAGTTACTGAGAGGAGTTCGTACATTGCACATTTCACGAACGATCGCTTTCTCCTTTTCACTCAGGTCTTCCTCATAGTTGTCTTGCATTTGCCTGTCCAAATTTTCATGGACCTCAAGGACCTACAAAAAACAACATTACAAAAGCATTATTCTCCTCAAATAATTATGTGTCCCTAACAACAGCATTGATCCGTATCTAAATTGGCAGGAGTCACAAAGCCTCGAGATGAGCCAAGACCAAGCATGACATGAAGAGGGGTGCCTCCAGCCTCCTCCTTCACTGGTGATGGCATGCATCTGTCCCACCCCCTGCATGGTATGGCTGCCACCACAGTCTTGGGGGACCATGTGGTAAGTGGCAGTGAGCTGCCTGTGCCCACAGACACGTCTCTTCCAGGAAGGCTGCTAACAGCCCCACCTTCCAGGCAGCGCCCCCAGCAAGGCAGCCCCCTCAATACCCCCTCCATCGCATCCGCACACATGCAGATTGCTCCTCCAGACAGGCGTGTTGGACAAGTCAGGTGTATCACAGCACAGGACTACCTCCAGATGAGTGACCTACATACCTCACCCAGGGCTTTGCCACTGCTGAGCAAGGTGGTTAGCTCATTGTGCAGGGTCAAAGCTCCTGGAATCACCCAATGCCATCAAACAGCACATTCACCATGATGCATCCACACGCATATAAAGCCATACAGCAGGTGTATCTGAGTGTGAAACTATTCCTACACCTCCTAGGGAAGTACAGAGCTAGATACAATGCAAGGATGGGTTTCACCCTTTCCTGAGGTATACAGCACTGGCTGCTCCATGAAATGGGATACCAGGGTAGACTACCCCTGGGTCTGCCTCCACACAGCAATCCTGCTGTACTTCAAACTGTGTTACAAACAAAAATAGGTCATTCTCCTAGGGCCCTTAACCTACTTGGGACCAATCTTTGCACAGGTAAGAATTATCCTCATCCTTTCAAAGAGCAGAGGAAAAGCAAGAGGGATGCAAAAGGCATGTGCATGCTGACAAAGAGAACATCTATTTTTTTGCTAAAGAGGAGGGAATTAATTATTGATCCAGCTGGACTGGCACATCGAACTTGCTCGTCTGGAGCCAGAGTGTTTCCAACGCTCAGCTGAAAGGCAGCAGCCTGCAGGATCACACCCCCGTGCACAGCACCAGGGCTGCCTGGCTGGCAGCTAAGCACCGGCTGTGTCCGCAGGGCAAGCGTCAAGGGCAGCCATGGTTTAGATTAGTTAAAGATCACATCAGTTCCAGCCTCTGCTTCCACCAGCCATCAATCTTGCAGGCACAGGAGTCCCAGTGGACAGAAACAAACTGTTTTTCTAGAACTTGTGCTTAACCTAAAACCACATTCCCTAGTCCAGGAGGTGTGGAAGGATGGCACAGGCCACTTCTTTCAGTAGAAATGTCTTTTAATGGTGTAAACCAGGCAGAGATGAGAGCTGAGCAGACACAAGTTACGGTTGTACTTCATTTCTGAATGACTTGGGACTCATTTACTCTGGAAACCATCCTGCTCCCAAGGCCCACCCCACATCTACCTAGGCACTTTGTAAAGATGTATTAGCATCTTGGGTATGGGAAAAAGCAATTTTGGGGGGATAAAACTCAACAGCCTAGCCTGGAAAGGCAGACTAGAAAAAAATACGCTGATGAGTGAAATCAGGTCCTGAAGAAAGACAGGAAGGACTCTTAGTGCTGATCCAGCCCCAGCCATTCTCAGATCCTGCTAGGCGCCTCCTCAGCTGTTTAGACCAGGTTAATGTTCCTCCAGTTACACTGCTGGGGACTACGGATGTGCCTTCACATAAATTGCCTATAGCTCAGCTAAAGTTCAAGGACTGTGGATTCAGCTAGGATCTAAGAAACCAGGGTATATCCTCCCATGGTTTCTGCCACATCCCAACCCAGGAGCCCACAGAAAGCAGACAAATGTACCCCACGCTTGGAAGTGGCTCATGCCATCCCCTCCCTTCTGCTGTTGTTCAAGGTGCACTGACAGCACTTGTCATTTTGTGGACACACGGGTGCGATGCGATGACCCTGGGTAAAACAGCAGCCGGCACGGGCAGCCTGCTCCACTCGGATGCAGGCAAACGGGGCTGGACCGGGTGATGCTGCTCTTCTGCCTGGGGACACCACCTCCCGAAGATAACCTGCACCTCGCTCTCAGTGAGCATGCGGCTGGTCTGGCTTTCTCCCTGATGATGTGTGAACTGTGAGGAACACCTCAAGTATATTTAGTTGTCCTTCACTGAAGTCTGTGAACAAGGCAGTGTCACCTCAAAGTCACCCGGTCCATCACATCCACCTCCCTCCTGACTGGCTGCACTAGCCCCACATGGCCATGCAATGAATATTTAACACACAAACAAACAAAAACCCCACCAGAGAGTCTGGATGACTGTAGTAAAGCTTTGGAAGGGAAGCTGAAAGCAGAGGTAAGCGTTTCTGTACCAGAAAGCACTCTGAGGGATGCTTTCCAAAGGGTGCAAGCCTCGCTGATTTTACTGATTTATAACTCAACTGGACAAAGCACTGGGGAACATGCCATCCTGTTTCAGCAAGGGAACAGTCTACATGCCCTGCTAGGACTGTTCCTTAGTTTTGGCAGGGCCAAATCCTGCTTTACCCAAGATCAGCAGGAGTGATTGATCACCTGCTTGATGGTTCTGTGCACATGGAAAAGGTCCAGGCTGCTGCTGTGGGGCAGTTGGGTTATAGGCTGAATGTCGTTCTCTCACATGTGTCTCCTCCTCACCTCCCCACATCTTTAGCAGGTTTTCTCAATTCCCAAGAAGAGTGCTTTGATGTTCAGTGAGATACTGAGCTGTAGCATATGTACCTTTTATTCTTGTTAGCAAAAACAGCTGTCAGGAGTGCCAGCCTGTCATCTTGCTCCTTATTTAGTAGGCGTAAATAAACAAAAACTATTTCAGAAGCAAAAATAAAGAAAACCCCTAAACGTGCTAAAGGAAGAACTTAATTATGCTGAATGGCACACAACGCTTCAGCCACACAGCCAGTATTCAGCTGCCAGAAAAAACTAAGGAAAAAGCCTAGAGGATACCACATAGATGGGTGCAGATGAGACAATCCAGAAGCCCTGCAAAGTGCACAGCCCCTCAGCGCCCTTCACTTGAGCTGCACTGCACAGACTTGAGCACAAGCATCCTGCAAGACAAGCAAAGCCAACTTCCACCTCTCCTTGCTTTTCCTCATGGTAAGGAGCTAGCCTGCTACAGCCATAAGGACTCTTTTACATAACCAACAAGGGCTTTTTCTAATATCTGATGTGGTAGAGCCAAAGCATAAAGTCTCATTTTTAGGCTACTCTCTTCTCTACTCCCTCCTCAAGGGAAGGTCATGAACTGTATCTCAGGCAGGGAGGGTCTAAGCTGCATCCAGTTTCCCACCTGCAGGTGCTGGCACTGGAAAAGCTATTCAGTTCTGCAGGGTGCAGTAAGACCTACCCCGTATGCTATAGCATGCCATGGCCAAAACCCATCATCTTCTACCCAGCTTAAGATCCACAGATGGAGACCAACAGCCACAATTTGACTGTGCCACATGAGATCATGGCCAGTTTCCTCAGTTTTTTCAATTACCAGCTGATCCTTAGAAATGCGCCACAGGATGAAAAATAAACGCCTTCTCATGCCTCCCTCCCACACTGACCTACAGGAGAATTTCCTCCTCACTTCAAATGTGCGAATATTCTTAACCCTGTGTGTGAGCAGGACACGTCATGTGAGATCTTTTATGGCCCATGAGATGTGACTGCTGTGTTACCTGCTTCCTGACTCCAGCCATGGCGCTTTCCAGGGTTTGGGAAACAGATGAACGTACCACACTGGGCAAATAATGAAGTTGCAGAGGAGAATTTATTCCAGCCTTTCCTAGCAATCAACAAAGCTTTGAAGTAGAGGATTACTAATAATATGTGCTAACAAACAACCATATATGCAACTTCAACTCTTTTATATTGGCACAGCATTGTTGTGCCAGACCCCCTAAACTTCATTTCCAGTTTCCAAGAATCTTCTTCATGATTTTCCAGTCCTTTCCATAAGCTTACCAAACCACATCTTAAAACCATTTATGTTTCCTGCCCTTACCAACAAATTCAGTCACATAATCCTTAAAGCAAATAAGAACCTAATTTTCCCCCAGAATGTGTTCATAATATTGTAACTTAAAAACATTATCAACTCTGCTTAATGTGGTATCTCACCACCACCCCACCAAATGCAACAAAGAGCCGAAGTAGAAAGTTATGAAACCCACACTGGGGAAGAAAAAGCCAAGAGCAGTAGTCTGGACTGCATAACGGCTTGGATGATTAAATGCAAGTAAAACTATTAGTACAAAGCATCAGAAAAAACAAAGGTATCACATGAATCTGCAATGTTCTGCAAATCTATACATCCATATATTCCAATCAGAGCCTAATTTAGTTAGAGACTTTCCAGCCATCGCTAGAGCACCTTGGAAAGGATTTGTGCTTTTGTGTCCCTTAGATACTCAGAAGGAACTTGCTTAGCTAGTTAAACTTGCAACACCAGGGTATCACATTTTCCTGCTAATGGATGGTCACTAGCACTTGAGAACTGCTGTGAAATCATGGTGCAAGTTTTCTCCTTTAATTCAGCTAGCAGTGTCCCATGGGTTTTATTACCAATGATCCTGACTTTAATCCCCACTCATGATACACATATCTGCACGGTATGATGCCATGGTTTGCTGTGTACTTACATAAAAAAAGTTCTCCTTTGAAGACTGTTGCAGGATTTAAAAATAAAGCATATGGAGGAACTGCTTTTTGTGTTCCATTTAAAACAGCATTTTGGTCACCACTGTCACCCCAGAGATCCAGTTTACACAGGACTGATGAACAGGAAGGGTAACTGTCCTGGGTTCAGCTACAGCAGTCATTTTTTCTCCTTCTTAGTAGCTGGTGCAGTGCTGTGGTTTTGACTTTCAGCCTGGGAACAACGCTGATAACACCGATGTTTTTAGTTGTTGCTCAGTAATGTTTACTCCGACCAAGGACTTTCTCAGTCTCATGCTCTGCCAGTGAGAAGGGGCACAAGAAGCCGGGAGGAAGCAGAGGCAGGACACCTGACCCAAACTGGCCAAAGGGCTATTCCACACCACAGCACGTCATGCCCAGTATAGAAACTGGGGGGAGTTACCCGGAAGGCCCAGATCGCTGCTCGGGTCAGGCTGGGCATTGGTTGGCGGGTGGTGAGCGGTTGTGCCCTCTCCCCTTGTTATTCCTCTTATCATTATTATTGGTAGCAGTAGTGGTTTGTATTATACCTTAGTTACTGGAGAGCTGTTATCTCAACCTGTGGGAGTTACATTCCTCCGATTCTCCTCCCCATCCCTCCGGGAGCGGGGGCGAGGAAGAAGGAGGGCAGAGAGCGAGTGGCTGCGTGGTTCTGAGTTGCCGGCTGGGCTTAAACCACGACAGTAACCAACACCTTCAGCATCAGCAGCTTTTGCTGGAGGTTTCCCACCCCAAAAAATAGTCATGCACAATCTTGCTTAACTCCACAACTATTTGAAGCAATGATTATTCATCATGATACAGGTGCTAGTCACCAACATTCTGCCTGAGCATTAACTTTCTAGTTGTTATGTTTCCATGAGAAGAGCAACTGTCTAGTTCTGCCACTTCAGTGTTAGCTGCACCGCACCACACGGTACAGCATCACGGTGCATGGCTGTGCAGTGATCTGCAGCATCCTTACCTTCATAGCGTGCACAACAGCCTCTGGCTTCTGACCAACAGGGACATATCCTGCTGCAGGAGAAGATGCAAGATCAGATGTCATGCGAGCTGGTCCCTGTTGAAATAAGAGACGATATGCTTTCATTCCTTTTGGGTGGTTTAAGCAAGGAGAAAGAAAATAACAAGAAAATTTGAGCACTAGCTTCTCTCAAATTCAATCAGCCACCTGCAAAGACAAAAGACACCACTACTCTTCCTCACAAATCACCTGACTTAATGCCATTTAAGCCTACCATCACACAGTCTGGATGTACTCGGGCAGGAGATCGCGCCAGTTTAAAGCTAAATTGATTCAAAAAACGTTTTTCGCTCACTTTGGATAACTTTGTACAAGGACAAGATCAAACGGTCTCATCCTTCTAGCCAAGGGAGCAAGGCAGACAAGATGATTTTCCAGCATAAAGCAGCCATTGCTAAGAACTAAGAAGCTGCATTCATGAGAGAAACAGTTGGTGTAACTTCATTGCTTTTCTGGCAACATTCTTACATAGACATCAAGTACCAATCTTCAGCTACAGAGAAAATTGTGAAAGCAGCCTTAAAACAAGCAGATGTCCAAACCTAATGCTGGCTGAGTTTGTTTCCAAAATGCGGGCCAGTCCTCCTGCATGAAGGATCCCATTGGGAAAGATGCCGAAATTACATTTTACAAAAGATTTCTACTGTCCAAATAGCCTTGTAAGCACTTTTCATAGGGCTTTCCCTTTTTCTAAATGCATCTGACTTGGATTATGAGAGACACAGTATCTTTATTCAGTGAGATGCACCCTGCCTGTCCCTAATATTTTTGCATTCCTTCATATCAGTGGGAGAAATCAACAATGAAACCATTGACCAAATTCTATTTAGTCTTCACATCCTTTACGAAATACAAAGAATTATTATACTGAGCCTCTGAAAGCAAATTAGGATGGCAGAGCGGCATGTAGCACCATCACAAGAATGCTTTCACATACAACACGAGGCACTCCTTTCTCATCTTTACCACGTTTAAAAACACAGCATGTTTTATGCTTCATCTCATCACTTTGCCTTCTAAGCCCAGGCCAGCAAGCTAGTTGTGCCAGAAAGGAGGACGAACGTAGGGGCACTTCGCCACCTCTCGTCTTTCCAAACGTTTTAAGTTGTGGGGGCCTTTTTATTAATAAAAGTGTTCATGTGCATACATTAAAGAAAAAGATGGGCCAATCCGTCAGGCTATAGACAAAAATAGCATGAAAGGCATGGAGCCATTCATGCCTAGGCCACTGATCTGTGCTTAACCCTTGTTGGGACCAACAGCCATAGACTCGTAACTGAGATGCTGGTGATACAAGAATTTCCTTCTGAGATGCAGGCATCTCAGAAAAAGGAAAATAAGACTTAGTAACTCCACAGTAATTCTCTGCGGAGATGTAGCAAACTGACAAAGCACAGAGACCAAGAGACGCTCACAGGCTGGGCATAGTTCTGGACTTGCTGGCAGAGCGTTACAGCTTGCTGGAGCTGTGACAACATGGGGACATGTCCTCATCCATCTCATCCATAACATCACATAGAAAAGGCAGAGGCTGGGGACCAGGGACTGGGTCACAGCTGTGACTTAAGACTGCAAAAATGGGTTAACAGTTTCTCACAGGGCTGGTAAATGCAACAGAGTCCTTCCAGAATCAGCCTCCTACAGAAGTCAAAGACACCAATACATGCCTAATTCCTCTGGCTTTAGCATGAAAGGTGCCTTCTTTCTATAAATTACTAAGATTATGACAACTGAAGGCAAAATACTCAGGAGTTTGCAGCCATGAATGACACTTGATATGGATCTTCCCCCACAGTCCTCTTTAGAAGTAACACAGGAAATACCAAGCAAAGGTCTAACATCCAATATTTCTTCTGAGATGAGAGTAATGTCACAAAGTAAAAGGAATTCTGATGGATCTGGCTGTTGATAACAGCTTAAAAACTGTGTTTAAAATACAGTTTTCTGACCAAAGTAGAGTATATCATGAGGTATCCTATACAACAGGCAGCAGCAGCTTCTCCTCACAAAACTGAAGTCACTAATGAGCTACAAAGCATTTCCATGATTGTAATCACTCTCAAAATCATTATACAATGCAAATGAAACCAGAATGATTAGAGAGAATTTTTTTCTAAAGAGCTTGAACATACTTAACAGACCACCATACCGACAAGATAAAAGTAATCTTGCAAGCATGGTGATGAACTGCATATATTGTGTAACACAAGAAACATTGAAAAGGGTCACCTTCCTTCTTGGGTAAGTTGCTGAAATTCAGTAAGGGCAATCAACTGAGCTCCACTTGAAAATAGGTAGAGAATTTGACTGAAGAAGAGAAAAACAACATTAAAGAAAGAGGGATGCAGCAGGGGAGGTCGGCCGCAAACTTGCTGTTGAAGTCTCAGTAACAGATGACTAATTTCTAAAACAGGCATGATCCTTGATCCTCAGCTTGGAAGCCAAAACCCCCAGCCAACTGAAACAGATGTCCAAATTGCTGAGTGCAATTGTCAGCAATGGCGAGGGCACCAACCAACCACAACAGTGGCCCGCTATGCCCCAAGCCACAGAGGCCTCCCCACCATGTCAGACTGTCACTACAAAAGGCCAAACATGCACGTGAAGAAAGTGGGGGACAAGCAAAGACCTCACCAACATCCATACTCTTTCCAAGTGTAGGATGTAACAAGTAACAATACCCACGCTGCTAATGGTGGCGTAATATTTATCATTACACTTAGTGCTTTTCGTGCAGTTGCACCCTTAGAAAAGGCTCTTTCCAGACACACAAAGAAAGAGAGTTTTGTAACAGGGGTAGGTGCTTTATTCCCACTGATTTCACTATAGTTCACAGAAAATAAAAGCTTCAGCTAAACTCCTATCAGCTTCCTGCATGGAGGCATACATAAAGGAGGCCAGAAAAGAGGGGGCTGTAGTCAGCAAGGAAACAAACGACAACATATCCAGCAGGATGCATGGCCAGCCTTTGGAGGATGGAGGAGACGAAAACAGGCAGAGTTCACCAACAGTGTTAGCTGAAGGGGAGGAAATGGAGGGAACTGGAGATAAGGTCAAGGTTGATGGACTGGAAAACTGCCAACATAGGAGAAAAGTCACGGAATGGGAAGAAAGAGGAGGATGTACATTGTCCAAGCAGGAAACCAGTTGAGATGAGGTGCAGAGGAGGGGAAACCAGAGATACAAGACAGGAGATTGGAAGAAAGGCAGGAGGGAGGGCAAAATCTCAGGAAGTCATTGTTAAGGTAGTAGCTGGAACGGCACAGATGAAGGAGGTTCCTCATGCCTAAAATAGATGCGGTTGGAAACTGGGGGTAAGAATTACCACAGCTGCACCCCAGCATTCTAACTCAGCCACTCTGAGGACCTCCATCACTACAGCAACCCATGCCCTTCCCATTCCCTATAGCTGACATTTTCACAGCCATGGGAACACACTGACTCAGCACCCTGACAGACAATAATAGCAAGGTTAATTTGGTTATATCCTAAGAAGCAGAAATTGTCCATACAGGCAAAAAGCAATACGGTGTCTTTTGGTGCATGAATCACCCCATTTCCTCTCCCTGCCTGGGTTTCTCAAATATGCCCTCTCTGTATTAGATGGACAGCTGGCATTTCAACTCGATAGGTTTTCATAGCATTTGGTAGCTCAGAGATGGTTCACTCTTCATCCCCAGACATGTGGCTGAGCTGCCACATAACTATATAAATGAATAGCGCTAAAAGACAGCTCAGAAGTCACGAAAAGGATGACACTACATTAATAATAAAGTTGTTGAGAAATATCAACTTGATAATTTTTCTCGTTCTGCTGAGGCTGAAGCTCAGCAGAATGAGAAGCTGGGTCATTTCAGAACTCAAAGTTTCTTTATTCCCTTTGGCCCAACTAGCTTCAGAGCTGCTCCAAGTTTACAGCAGCAGAGACAAGAACAGAAGTTTGCTTAACTCATCACTTACACAATGAACTCGTCATTCAAAAGGAAACAACTGTGTATCTATATTGTGGTGTCGAATGGTCAGCTGGGTAGAACTGCATCATACACCACTTTCTGTTTCACCAACAGGCAGCTACAGTGTCACTTAGGATCAGCTCCCATCCCCATCATGCCAGCCCCACATCGTGCATGCTCAAACCACAACTCCACCAGAGAAGTCCAGTTCTGTCTGAGACCCTCCCAGAAACCTCTCACTGGAGCCTGCTGAGCTTTTGGATCAATCTCCAAGTCAGTAAGGAGATTCACAGTCTAGCTGTCTGATTAACAGACTAAGAAAGGAGAGTAACGCTGCAGTCTCTCATACCAGAGCATCCTTGAAGTAATATGCTATACATAGGGGATAAATCCCCCAGTTCTCTATTGCTAAAAATGATACTTGACCTGGTGACAACCTCAAATCCAAAGCAGAAAACAAATCAAAATCAAGCTATCCCCACTCACTGCTCCAGCCCAGAACCCAAAGACAATCAGTAAAGCAACAGCACTTACGTGGGAAAGAAAATCCAAAGACCACAAATACTGCCAATGATCCTTTTTAATCTGACACAAAAAATGAAGAACAGAGGCCTTAACCTGCAGGTGCTGAAGAACATCTGCTGCTCTGTATCAAGCCACAGATGGCATTGCCAATGTCTAAGACCAAGTTGCCTAATGAGTCCTTGCTGGCTCTATCTGTTTGCATGGGATGTGGTCCAGCACACATGCTGACAAGTACCACCATCAATACCCTATTCCTGCATGTTTGGAGGAACAAAATTGATAGGACTTTCTGTAATAGGGCATGCTAGGAACTCCTGATAATAACACACCTCCAGAGAGGCAAAGTAAGGCTTAAAATATGAAACATTTCTTAATAACAGTGGGAATGCTTTGGAACCCAAAAAGAAAAGAGCCTAACTGGGGATGACAGGTGTCTGCTGTTTTAGAGGTTTTGGGTTGGAAATCTCAAAAAGGAACAAAGAAGTTGCGATAAACAATTTCTTCTTGATTCCTCTTGGGATCTGAAAAGACATGAGACCTTAGTCCTGCCATCAGTTT